AAATAAAATAGGTTAGGTTCAACTTATGTCAAAGAACCGAATTGATTGACCCCGACTCCACCTGGTACGAGTCTGTCCTACCCCTAGAGTGGTTTTAAAGAGCCGGAGGCGCGTAGGGGGTGCAGCCTCCGCCTGTTGTAACAAATCGTAGGCATCGAACGAGCCGGAGCGGCTGAGGCTGGTCGCCGAAGGCGACCAACAAGCCGAAGTTGCGGAGGCGAGCAGTCTCGAAATAGATACAGAAATCCTTCTGAATCAGTATTTTATGATGAAGGGGATTCTTTTTCATAAAATGGATTTATATTTACATTATAAATATAGATATTTTAGAAATCGATTTTTTGGGAATCGATACATCAGCTTACAATTCGAATCTATTTAAAAAATCGATCTTTTTCGGAAAGAATCGACATCCCTACTGACAATAATAATAAAAAAATGGCGTCAGTTTTATTGTAGGATTAGACATAAACAATGAAAGATTAATTGATTTTCAATAACTTTTTTCTCAAAAATGACGCGCTTCCGCATATTGTAACTTTGTGTGTGTGCTTATAATAGTGTAACTTTTCTGTAAAAATACGTATCAACCCCCAACTCGATGGGAGTCAATGGAAAGTCGTACCGCCTACTACACTGACATGCATGTGAGAGCACGTAATGTAATTGAGCGCACTATTGGACTTATGAAAGCACGTTTCAGATGTCTACTAGTGCACAGAGTGTTACATTATGAGCCTCACATGGCAGCTTCTATTGTAAATGCATGTGATATTGCACAACATATGCAATAAGGCTAATGTCAGTGTAGAAGAGCTGCAGCCAGAGGCAGCTTTGTGGGAATATGAATTGCAACAGTTGGCAACTCCTCACCAGGATTCTGCAGTAAATTCTAGGGTAGCACAAAATCCAGAGCTTCGAGAGGGGATTAGTTAGAAATAACTTTATCGATCGCCTCTGGACAAGTCGGAGTGCAATCTGAAATTTATATTTGTTTTTAAAACTATTGTTCTTTTGTTTTTTTTATAGTTTAAAGTTTTATAGTATAAATTTATATAGTTTATGTGTTGTTTTTTTATTTAAGATTTTTAGCAATGTATATATTTTACTCAGATATGATTTGTGATGTAAGTATTTTACTCAGAAATAAGTGAATAAACTTTTATAGTTGTAATCACCACAATGTAAATACTCGAAACATTACCAAGGGAAAGTTTAATTTATTATAGCCTGAATTGTGATGTATGATTAAACTGTTATTTCTTTGTAAATTTAGTATTACTCTAAATGTTTAGTAATGAAATCACATTTCGCCTTAAATCTTAACCAAACCACACAATCCCATTAAAATATTAAAGTAGGAAGGGTGTTTACATTTAAAATGGACATGGTAACTGATTTATTATCCACTTGACACACAAACACAGCTCATATTATAATAAATTCTCAAAAAGAGCACACAAACTAAATTTTGCCTTGACTTAAGTAACTTTACACCATCAATCACATCTCAAATTGAAAACACATATTCAAAAAGCCACTTTAGTTCCTTGTCGTTATCGTAAATTTATAAACAAAACTTGTAGAAACAAAAAAACTCATTTCAAGTGGTAATAATTTAATACATTGTTAATTTATTTAGTATTAAAAAATACAACAATGTGGGTTTCACTTTAAGACCGACCTTAAAAATAAATAGATAAACTTATGTAACATTTGTATAGCATCCTCTCACTCGAATGCTTAGCCAAAACAAGACAGAGACAACGCTAACCCGTCAGCAAAGCCGTTATATGGGTTTAAAACAGTTGAGCTAAGTGTAGTTCATAGTACCAAATAAAGCATTTCAGCTTAAGGTCAGAAGCTGAACTGCTCGGAACTTGCCAAGCTTTATAAACACGTCGTAGTAGCCCCCCTGTTTCCTTGTTGATCGGAGCATCAAGGCCGTAGTAGACGGTGCATTCTCTGAATTCAAGCCTATCAACGCTGGTGTTCCACAAGGCTGCATGCGATCACCAACGCTGTTTCTCCTGCATATCAATGATATGTTGCATGCTGGTAGTATTAATTGCTATGCAGATGACAGCACTGGTGATGCCTTATATACCGGCCATGCCAATATTTCTCGGGAAAACGTCGCCGAGTACAGGGACAAACTTGTGTCTGAAGTCGAGTCTTTGCTGAACAAAGTCTCGGATTGGGGGCGACTACATCTAGTCCAGTTCAATCCCTTGTGGGGACACAAGTTTGCGCGTTTACTGCTAAAAAGAACCCCTTTGTCGTATCTCTTCAGTTTTAAGGCACTCCCCTTGCTGCCTCAGCTAGGATCGGAATCCTCGGCATAGACATATCGAATAGTGTGCAGTTTCATGGTCACTTGGAAGGCAAAGCCAAATTCGCCTCTAAAAAGCTTGGCGTGCTCAGCAGAGCAACATTGTTTCATGCCGGCACATCGTTTACAACTTTACAAAGCGCATGTTCGGCCTCACATGGAATACTGTTCTCATCTCTGGGCCGGGGCACCCCAGTGCCAGCTTCTTCCACTTGACCACATCCAGCGCAGAGTGGTTCGAATCATCGACGACCGAGTTCTGTCTGATCGGCGCGATACACTGGCAATGCGTAGGGATGTTGCATCCCTTTACATTTTTTATCAAATTTATCACGGGGAGTGCTCTGAGGAGGTTTCTTCCTCTTACAACTTTTCTGTGGAATTGTTTACCACCGGCGACTTTTCCGGACCGATACGACTTAGGGACCTTCAAGAAAAGAGCTTACACCTTTCTAAAAGGCCGGCAACGCTCTGCAATTCCCCTGGTGTTGCGGTTGTTCATGGGCAACGGTAGTCACTTACCATTAGGTGAGCCGCATGCTCATTTGCACCCTCTTCTACTCGTATAAAAAAAAAGAACAGTTACTGCAGAGTGGTACATTAACAATTGTTTGCCACTTGTCTTGGAAAAAGTTCGGGAGAAACGACCTCGAAGTAGGATCCTCCTTCACCACGACAATGCCTCGTCGCACACCGCCAAGCAAACAATCAACTACTTTTCAACGTCAGACGTGGAATTACTGAGTCACCCACCCTATAGCCCTGTCCTTCGATTATAAATAAATAAAAATCGCACCTTGCAATTTTTATTTATTTCCGAAAATAAAATAAAAACTTTGAGGAAATTTATGGACGCCGAGGAAGCAGGGGCTGCGTTTCAAAATGCCGTCGAAGAGACCCCTAAAGACGAGTGGGCAAAGTGCTTTTCTCAGTGGCTCCATTGGATGCAGCGATGTATTGATGTAAATGGACACTATTTTGAAAAGATATAATGAAATTAATAACTTGCTAGTTTCTTTAGTTTTTGATTTTCTAAGAACTCTCAGTGTCACCCTCGCAATAGGACAGAAATCCTACACGATCGAAGAAAGATCAGGCTCAGGACCAACAATAACTTTCTAAATAAAATATTTATTATTGTTTTTCACACACCACAAATTTAATCTAATAAAAAAATTAATAACAAAAGTTATATCTCAGAAACTATTCTATTCTGGATAATAATATTTTAGAACTAAACTCAGAAAAGAGGATGGATCTCTTTTTGTTAGTTCTCATGAGATATGTACAGTTGAACTGCAAACTTTAAATAGTAATTAATATACCATGAGGACCTGGTACGACATGCAGGAAATCAAAGGATGCAGGTGTTCAACACTGTACTTGTGAAGGACTGTAATGATGATGATGATGATGAAATTTCAGAATTAATATAATATAGTTACAAAATGTAAATATAAAATGTAATATAAACAAAAAAAATTTCGATGGATGGTTCTAAAACAAATGCAGCTACAGGAACTGAACCTTTCTGAGGAGACCTTTACATCCATATATGTGCACCGCTGGGTACCAACAACATGGTCTTTCAGTCTGAATGTATGGGTATTTTTCAAGCAGCTATAGCAATAGATGCCAGGAAGGTAAAGGACTTCTATCAAAATACTGACCGACACCATAGCAGTTCCACAGGCTCCGAGTTGCAATATGATAAACTCGGGGCTAATATATGAAAGCCATTAATAACTAAATGAGGTATTTAAATGCAACAATGTGACTCTACAATGGATCAAGGGACACAGTGCATCCAGGGTCAACAATGCAGCAGACAAACTGGCCAGAAGAGGATCTGCTCATACTGATTCCCTTTGAGAATATTTGTTTACTGGTATGTGTGTACTATACTAATCCACATGCTTAGCTTTGGAAAGATCTAGAAGACTGTGTAGGCAAGATAGGGAGGCCCTGCCAGCAATGAACAGTCATTTAACCAAGGTTTTAATAAGAATAAACTCTAGAATAGGCTCTTTTACAAACATATATTCACCATAGGTGTTACAGGCAGTCCACTATGCAGGACATGAATGAGGGAGGAGGAAACTGGCGAGTCCAGAGGTCGCCGCATACAGTTCTGAACATCTGGGCACTTCCTGAAGTTGTTGACAACATCAAAGGAATGCTAAACTTCTTCAAGATTTCATGACTCAAATAATCATAATATGCAAAATACATACATAAATGTTGAGTTGCGGAAAATAGCCTGTTGTAAGTTAAACTAAATAAAAGGTAGTGCTCTCTCTATATGACTGCATAGCTGGTTATATATTGGTTAAAACCAATAATTTTTTTCTAGCCTCCACATATCTGACAAATTATCCAAAAATACCTTTAATTTTAATTCGGGTCGAGCTAGCTTTTATGTTTGTACACTCTTTGTGTAAATGTCACAACATACACTTGCAACATTATAATATACTCAGATCAGACGTACAGTGTATTCAAAAAAGATTTCGTTGATATTCCCAAAAAAATTAACATTTATAGTTACAATTTTGCGACGAGCATATAGGTTGTATGGGAAATAATCTTATGTTTATCAAAATCTTCGAAACTTAGATTTACGGCGCATAATTGTAATAATTTATGAAACGAAAACGATTATACTTACATGCATTTAAATTTATTTTTCCAAAGAACATGGTTACTGTTAACTAATTCGTTAAAACGTTTACATGACGAACCGAAATTTATAATTTCGTGAATACTTAGGTGTTTTAACACCATAAATATAACTTCGTCTGGTAAACAATGTATCGAATGACCATTATCCAATATATTAGCTTCCATTTTAATTAATTATTTTATTTTACTCTAATAAGTTATTTTTAATGAAAACTTTAAACAAATTCAACCAATAATATTAAAATCAATCTCGTAGTTTATTAGTTCGCACTTCGCACCAAAGAGCTTCGCACTTTGCAAAAAATATTTATGTACCTATGTATTAACGTCAAAAGCTCAAAAGTCAAAATAGGGATGGCGAAATCTATGATCATCGATGTCAAAAATGAAAACATCGATCTTTTAACATCGATGTTGCCACATGTCAAACATCGGTGTCAATAAATCCATAATCGATTAATGGGTACTTGCGAACACTGCGAAACCGTGAAATCAATATCAACTAAATCTTGCATCTTCTCTAAAATATTTAAAATTTTGAATATTTCAGAATGCTTGAACGCATCGATAACCTAAATATATATCATTATAGTGTATCGAATTTGACTTTCAAGTGTCAACTGTAATGTCGCAGTTGTCGCTGATTTCGTTTTGTTATTGGTCATTGTTGGATGTCTGTTTCTTTGTCGGTTGTTTTTAAAAAATTCGATGGTTGATCTTAAACACGATCCAATGCACAATTAGGACAATGTTATTGGTTCTACCTATCTAAAATTAAAAAAAAAATTCTGGGGAACAGATTTCGATAATTCCTTTTTTTATTTGAAAGCTTATTTGGTGCTTCGTCATGTGGTCCCATATAAATTTCACCCATATACATAAGTCTGACCAATAGTTTTTGAGTTATCCTTAAAAATTTATATTGAAGTCAGCTATACAAAATTTTTATTTTTAAATTATTTTTAATAGCTGGCTGAACTCTTTATCAACAAAGAAACAGATTAAAAGGTACTCCTGTGCCAAAATTACTATTTCTTCAATCATCGGAAAAAATATTGGACTATATAACAAATGAACTGGATATTTGTGAACTTCTGCCAATTATTTTTTATTACTGATTTACACTACATTGTTTATTCATTTCTTTTATTTCATTAATTATAAACCATAAACAACATGACAATTATTAAATCATCTAATTCTAACCATGAAGTTATAGATAAAGAGGAGGCCACACTTGGAACAATAGCTTGAGTCAAATACCCCAAATACCTACGTATCTTTATATCACTCTCTGTGGTCTGACTTCTCTTTTTAGTGTGGAATACAGTATTGCTATGTTTTTATTTAAATCTCCTGGTAAATTCTTAGAAATAGTTTCAACAATAACCAAATCAGAAGTTAAGCTCTGTAAAATAATGTACCAATAAATAAATAGTTGAAATACGATTAGTTACATTAAAAATTTCAAAATTGAAGGTCTCGTATGAATTATTGGGTTAACAAATCAGTGAATTACAATCCCATTTCCTAAGGGTTCCGTAATGTGGCAACATTAGCCCTATATGTCAACATAAATTAGGCAAATATGACGCTTGTTTAGCTTAGCTGTTCACATCGTCGTTTGAGATAGTTAAAGTTAATTATTGTTATAATTCAAGAAATGGTGCAAACTTGTGTAGTGCGTGGTTGCTGCAGTTGTTGGTGTCCAGGAGGTGATATAAGATTTCACGCGTAAGTGTTTAAATAGTGACTTCTGGCATTGAATGCTTGTAAGCATACTTCTTTGTATTTTTTTACTTAATTTTTTGCTGAAAGTTTTCCCAGTGTTTTAAACATATTAGTAAATTATAACTTTGTCAAAATCAAATAGTTTTACATTGAATTTAATTGACTTTGAACAATTTTCTTGTTTTTGTTTAAAAGAAATCGCACTGAAGTAGTGTGACCATATTGAGGATGTATCTGAGACTTTCCGTGTGACCTTAACTAATTATATGTATGTTTCTTATTATGTTACCGGAAATGCATGAAATTTAGCAATTATATACAATTCCTTTATATGACGGAGTTCATAATTGTTAATTAGTAACATAATATATTCTTTTGGCAGACAATTTACTTTTTATTTAGTTTTGTTCCTCATTATTCTGATACTTTAATAACGTTTACAATAATTACGAATACTTTTTTTTAGATTTCCTAAAAACAGTACTCGGAGAAATTTGTGGTTATCCATTGTACCATTGAAAATAAAGTATTATGAAAGTGCAAGGATTTACAATTTGCATTTTCAAGAATTAGATTATGATACAACAACAAGGCGCTTAAAACCAATCGCAGTTCCTACTGTTATAATAAATCAAGAAACATAATCACCAGGCAAGGTAAACATTTAATATAATTTAATTATCTATTTTACGTAATTAGAGATTAAGTTTCGTATTTAGAAATGTAGTAGTTTATATGTATGATATAAAGCAACATTTATCATTTGCAGACAACAAGTGCATTACATGAAGAGTCTATGGTGCAAATAGCTGCTCTGGCTGTACCAAGCACTTGTTCTGGCATTTATGAAAGTAGTTCTGCACTGAAGGAAAAGATTGTGACCAAGTTATCCAACGAGCTAATTTGATGAGCCAACTTAGAGCCAATAACATTGAAAACAAAATAATTAATGTCGTGTCACAACGTTTTACTTCTCTGTTGCAGGAAAGGTTAAAACATCCCATCACGGACTCAATTAATTGTAATGATTTGCATGAAACTATGATAGTTAAGAAAATAGCTAATTCATTTTTTAATATGCGTATACGTGCTCAATTACAGAGTTATACAGAAAACATAATCAGTGATTTACGTGGTAAGAGACAGAAACTACACAGAGCAATGATATTTAGTCATGTATAATAGAAAAATTTCAATAAATTATTAAATAAATTATTTTTATTTATTTTTTAAGGTTTTTTTTATATATATTACTATTCCTATTATAGTACATATGTTACTAGAAATCTATGAAATCCGTCATTATATAGTATTCCTAGGAATTGTAGATACTTCTTATAATGAACAGGTTGTGTGGAATATAGAGTTAAGATACGATAAAGAGTTAATATACACCTTTCAGCTCAGAGCACCCTGACTCGGATGGGTAAGGTCAAAGGGCTAAGGCAGGAGCTCCGCTGCGCTCCTTTAGTCTTCGTGATAATTTTTTTTTAATAACTGTCCAGAAATAGATTTAGTCTGTCTGAACAATAAATCAGGTATATTTTGCCCAATTCATTGATCACCCGGGGTGTTATAATAAATTTTAATTTTATATTTCGTTGATACCGTTTAGGAATTATATACAATAACCAGAAAATACATTATCGAAATGGTAGTTATAAAATATTCTCTGATATATTTATTTTTTACATTTTTTAAATAGGCTCGGCATTATATTGGTTGTAACGGAAATGCCTGGTCATATTTTAGATACCGGTTCTGCCCATGGAAATGAAAACCTTTCTTCATAAAACTAGTCAATTCCCAAAAAAAAATTACTAAAATATATAATCTATATAGGCTAGATCTTAGTAGTAAACAGAGATGTAGATATTTATAAATAAACCACTTAATGTAATGCAACTACTTATAGCGATATCCTGGGAAAAATAAAATAAAGGTTACCTACTTAGAAAGAGAGGGTCTGCCCACAGAGAGCGAGATAGTAATACATAGGTTAAGTTTCAAGTAGGTATTCGGAGTTTGGTCTCCATCTTTATCTATAACTTCATGTTAAATACATGTGCAAAAAACATCGATAATAGCCAACATCGATGTTTTGATTAGGATAAACATCGAACATCGACATCGAGCTATCGATGTCAATATCGATGTCATCACCGATGTTTCTACAACATCGATCATCCCTAAGTCAAAATCAAAACGTCAATTCTAGGCTTCGAGCATATGTAGAAAATAGAGGAGATGGCAGTCTACAAAAAAATCGTGTCAGATTGAAACAATAAATGGCGCATTTTTTAGTGATGTGAAGTCAATCAAATTTTAAAATTTCGTTACAACTATATGTATTTTTAATTATTTAAAATATGCAAAATTATATTTTTTCTAACTATTAGGGAGGCTAGGGGAATTTGGCGTCAATTTAACCGCTAGTAGATTGTTGCTCCTGTTTTATCGTTTAAATAATAGTTTGAAGACGATTTTGATACGTAATGCAGATAGCAAGTTGTGCTTGTAAGTTAGCAAACTAGTTGATTTCTTATATTTACGCGAACACTACACATTTTTAAATAAAACTAATTTTACGGATTTTATCGCGTATATTAACTTATTTTTATATATTCCCGACGTTTCGGGTGCTTTCCAGCACCCGTGGTCACGGGCACAGAATACTTTACTCCTAGCGGAGAGTCACGGGGGACTGAGTTGTTTGACGTCCTGCTGTCATAGTTAGCCCGGCTACCTTCAGTTTTTTAATATTAATTTTTGGTTCGATTTACGCAGAATGAGCTTACAGTATCTTGAAGTCTAGCAGTGGTATACTTGGGTTTGGATTTGATTTTATTAATTATGGGATCCCAAGCAGATGGCAGCTCTATTGAAATTATGATAAAGATGGATGGGTGCTGCCATCTGCTTGGGATCCCATAATTAACAAAATCAAATCCAAACCCAAGTATACCACTGCTAGACTTCAAGATACTGTAAGCTCATTCTGCGTAAATCGAACCAAAAATTAATATTAAAAAACTGAAGGTAGCCGGGCTAACAATGACAGCAGGACGTCAAACAACTCAGTCCCCCGTGACCACGGGTGCTGGAAAGCACCCGAAACGTCGGGAATATATAAAAATAAGTTAATATACGCGATAAAATCCGTAAAATTAGTTTTATTTAAAAATAGCAAACTAGTTGCTATGACTTCATTTTATACAGAATTAGCTTTACTTCTGGGCTAGTAAGTTACTATCGCCGAGTACCGGAACAAACTTGTGTCTGAAGTCGAGTCTTTGCTGAACAAAGTCTCGGATTGGGGGCAACTAAATCTAATCCTCCAGTTTAATCCTCAGAATACACAAGTTTGCGCGTTTACAAGGCGCAGGTTCGGACTCACATGGAATACTATTCCCATCTCTGAGCTGGGGTTCCCCAGCGCTAACTCCTTCCACTTGACCGCATTCAGCACTGAGCGGCTCGAATCATCGACGACCGAGTCCCCTTTGCAATCGGTTCGATTCATTGGCGCTGCGAAGAGATGCTGCATCCCTTTGCATTTTCTTTCGCAATTACCGCGG